CCCCGCCTCCCCCCCTCCTTAGTCTCCCCCGCCCCCCTCTCTAGTCCCCTCCCTCCCTCTCTTAGCCCCCCCCTACCCCTTCTTAGTCCCCCCCGCCTCCCCCCTCTTAGTCTCCCGCCTCCCCCTCCCCTTCTGTCCCCCTGCCTCCCTCTCTTAGTTCCCCTGCCCCCATCTTTAGTCCCCCCCGCCTCCCAAAAGAGAGTAGAAATTGTCTTTCAAATACACTGCGTAGCGTATGCCAACTTAATGTCATGAGAATCCATAATAAACAGTTGTATTTGTTATGTTGCCCTTGTGAATTATTGTTGTGTTCCTTTTGCCTCACCTTACACAGTGCATTCGGAAAGTATTCTGACCCTTTGACTTTTTCCACATTTTGTTACGTTACAGCCTTTTTCTAAAAAGGATTAAACTAGTTATTTTCCTCATCAATCTACACACAATACCCCATAATGACAAAGCAAAACGGGTTTTGAGAAATGTAAAATACAGAAATACCTTATTTACATAAGTATTGAAACCCTTTGCTATGAGACTCAAAATTGAGCTCAGGTGCATCCTGTTTCCATTGATCATCCTTGAGATGTTTCTACAACTTAATTGGAGTCCACCTGTGTTAAATTCTATTGATTGGACATGATTTGGAAAGGCACACAGCTGTCTATGTAAGGTCCCACAGTTGACAGTGCATGTCAGAGCAAAAACCAAGCCATGGGGTCGAAGGAATTGTCTGTAGAGCTCCGAGACAGGATTGTGTCAATGCACAGATCTGGCGAAGGGTTCCAAAACATTTCTGCAGCATTGAAGGTCGTGGTCCTCTGTAGCTCAGCTGGTAGAGCACGGCGCTTGTAACGCCAAGGTAGTGGGTTCGATCCCCGGGACCACCCATACACAAAAATGTATGCACGCATGACTGTAAGTCGCTTTGGATAAAAGCGTCTGCTAAATGGCATATTATTTTTTATTTTTAAGGTCCCCAAGAACACAGTGGCCTCCATCATTCTTAAATGGAAGAAGTTTGGAACCACCAAGACTCTTCCTAGAGCTGGCCGCCCGGCCAATCTGAGCAATCGAGGGAGAAGGGCCTTGGTCAGGGAGGTGACCAAGAACCCGATGGTCACTCTGACAGAGCTCCAGAGTTCCTCTGTGGAGATGGGACAACCTTCCAGAAGGACAACCATCTCTGCAGCACTCCACTGTACTCTACATCCTACAGGTAGCCTAGTATGAGTCTCAGACAGGGCTGTTGTGGTGACCGTATTTCCGCCACACCGGCGGTAATGAGTCATGGAGGCAGTCAAATTCCACTTGACCGTTTAGTCACGGTAATTAGGCTTCTCCAAGCTCGGATGCTGCTGATGGTCATTAGTAGCCTACCAAACTTGCTAACTGCCTGGTACTCAGCACTCTACTGTCCCTCTAATCACTCTAACATCAATGCAAATCTAATCGAAAATCTAATCAAACACTTCATGAGAGCTAATGAGCTCATGTTGCGCAACATTTCTATAGGCTATGCAATTGCGTGAGAAAACAGTGTGATGGCCTCTACTAAAAGAGGAGGATCCATCAGCTTTCTATAGGCTAGGCCTACTATATTTATTTCTCAAAATCCCAATATTAAGCACATTCTTATCTTTCAAAAGGATATAGAGGGCTAGGTCTGGGAGTCCATAGCCGTCATGGTACCCTTTGGGGGTCCATAGTCGTCCTAGGGGGTCCTGGTGAGGTCATAGGCATCAAAGGGATCCCCGGTGAGGTCCTAGGGGCAGTCATAGGTATTGGTGAGGGGCCTAGTCCCGTATAGGTACCCGGTAGGCCATAGTCCAGTCATAGGTACCCCGGTGAGGTCCTAGTCCAGTCATAGGTACCCTGGTAGGCCCAAGTGCAGTCAAAGGTCCCTGGTGGGTCCATAGGGAGTATAGGTACCTGGTGAGGGGGCCATAGTCCCGCATAGGTACCCCCGGTGAGGGCCCTAAATCCAGTATAGGTACCTGGGAGGTCCAATGCCAGTCATAGGTCCCTGGTGAGGCCCCCCTAGTGAGTCATAGGTACCCCGGTGAGGTCCATAGGGCGTTAGGTCCTGTGAGGCCCTAGGGGAGTAAAAGGGACCCTGGTGAGGGGCCCCCTGTGCAGTCATAGGGGCCGGTGGGGCCAAGGGGAGTCATAGGTCCCTGGTGAGGTCCCTAGGGCAGTAAGGTACCCCGGGGGGTCCATAGTCCCGTCATAGGTAAACCTGGGAGGCCCTGGGAAACATGGTACCCCGGGGGTCCCTAGGGGTTAAAGGGACCTGGGGAGGCCATAGTCCCGTCATAGGTCCCTGGTGGGCCTGTCCAGTATAGGTCCCCGGTGAGGCCCCCTAGTCCGGTCATAGGTACCCTGGTGAGGTCCATAGTGCTGTCATAGGTACCCTGGTGAGGCCCCATAGGCAGTCATAGGTACCCTGGGGAGGGCCCTGGGCAGTCATAGGGACCTGACTAGCCCCCTAGTCGAGTTCTCTTGTACCACACGGAAAAAGGTACCGGAGCACCAGTCTGGTCCAAAAGGTCCTTAAAAAGCTTCTACCCCCAAGCAAAAAGACTCCTGAAAGCTAATAGGGCTACCCAGATATTTTCATTTTGGCCCCCCCTTTTAACTGCGCTCCCTGTTTAATCTATGCATGGACTTTAATAACCTTTCCTACAGTACCTATTACCTCAATTATTCCCACTAAACCCGGGCCCCTGCACATTTTATCTGTACCCGGGACCCCCCTTTTTTAAACCTCGCTACCGTTATTTTTACTGTTTTTTATGTTTTTTACTGTTTTTTTATTAACTTTTTTCTTAAAATGCATTGTGGTTGGGTTGTCAGTAAAACATTTCACTGTGGGCCCCCACCTGTTGTTTTTGGGCCATGTGACAAAATGAGTTTTATTTGACTTGTCCCACTAAGACCCCCTACACCCTTCCCTTTTGCAGGACCCTTGGGGAACCTACCCCCCCCTTCTGCAGGTCCCTGGGGTTAACCCACCCTTCCTTCGCGGGCCCCCGTGGGTTAACCCCCACCCCCTTCCCTTCCCTTTGCGGACCTGGGGGTTAAAACCTACCCTTCCCCCTTCAGGGGCCCGTGGGTTTACCCTTGGGGGTTAACCTACCCCCTTCCCCCTTTCCCCCCGAGGACCCTGTGGGTTTTAACCTACCCTTCCCCTTTTTGCAGGTCCGGGGTTAACCTACCCCCCAATGCAGGTCCCCGTGGGTTAACCCCACCCCTTCCCCCCCCTTTGCAGGACCCTGGGGTTAACCCTACCCCTTTCCCCTTTTTAGGGGCCCCGGGTTAAAACCCCCCCCCTTCCCTTCTGAGGTCCCTGTGGGTTTAACCCCCACCCCCCCCTTCTAAGGAACTGTGGTTAACCTACCCCTCCTTCCTTTGCAGGGCCCCTTGGGGTTAAACCCCACCCTTCCCTCTGCAGGCCCCGTGGGTTTAACCCACCCCTTCCCCTTTTGGGGTCCTGTGGGTTTTAACCCACCCCTTCCCTTTGCGGGCCCGTGGGTTAACCACCCCCTTTCCCCCTTTTCAGGGCCTGGGGTTAACCCCACCCCTTTCCCCTTTTGCAGGTCCCCTGGGTTAACCCCCCCCTTCCTTTTGAGGGCCTGTGGGTTAAAACCCCCCCCCCCTTCCCTTCCCTTCTGCAGGACCCTGTGGGTTAACCCCACCTTCCTTTGAGGTCCCCGGGGTTACCTACCCCCCCCTTCTGAGGACCCCGTGGGTTTAAACCCTACCCCCTTCCCCCCCTTTGCAGGACCCTGTGGGTTAACCCTACCCCCCTTTCCTTGCAGGTCCCTGTGGGTTAACCCTCCCCTCCCTTTGGGGCCCCGTGGGGAACCTACCCCTTCCTTTTGGGGTCCCGGGGTTAAACCCACCCCTTTCCCCCTTTCAGGTCCGTGGGTTTTTAAACCCCCCCTTCCCTTTGCAGGTCCCTTTGGGGTTAAAACCCTACCCTTCTTTCTGCAGGTCCCTGGGGTTTAACCCTACCCTTCCCCTTGCCTGGGAAAAAGGAAATATGGTGTGGGTTCCCCCTTCCCTTTTTTAATCTGCAAGAAACCCTTTGTCAGCAAATGTTGTGAGGGTTTCGGACAAGGGTTAGGTTTTCATAAGGGTTAAGTTTTGGGGTTTGGTTTGTAATATTGTAAAAGGGGAAGAGCGGTGTGATATATGTAATAGTGGTAAGAGCTGGTCGTGTATATATTGTAATAGTGGTAAGAGCTGGTCGTGTATATATTGTAATAGTGGTAAGAGCTGGTCGTGTATATATTGTAATAGTGGTAAGAGCTGGTCGTGTATATATTGTAATAGTGGTAAGAGCGATCGGTATTTTGTAAAGGGGAGAGCTGGTTTTGTAAATTTTATAGTGGTAAGGTGGCGTTTTTAAAAATGTAATAGTGGAAAAGTGGGTTTTTTTAAAAGTAATAGTGGTAAGAGTGCGTGTTTTTTGTAATAGTGGGAAGAGGGCGGGGGTATTATTTTAATATGGTAAGAGCTGGTTTTGTATATAAAGTAATAGTGGTAAGAGCTGGGGTGTTAAATTTCAAAGTGGTAAAAGGGTCGTTTTAAAATTTTAAAAAGTGGTGAGAGGGTCTGATATAGTAATAGTGGGGAGAGTGGTCGTTTATAATTGTAATGTGGTAAAAAGTGGTGGTAATATTGTAATAGTGGGTTTTAAAAGTGGGGGTGTAAAATTGTAAAGTGGTAAGAGCTGGTCGTGAGGCCTGACATCTTCGTCGGCACCAGTAGCGTTGTTCGTTGAAATGTTGACAGTTATTGAACATCTACAAATCATCTACTTGGAACTATCCAAATAAAGTGTTTCCGATAGGAATACTCAACACTTTTCACCAAGAACATTAACGGCAGAGAGAGAGAAACTGATGATGATGACACCACAGATCTGAGGACAAGCGGCTAGGGGGAAGGGGATTGGCTGACAGGTCAGTGATGTCACAGTCTGAGGTCACACTCACCTTCACGTTTCCACCAATCAGGTCCGGCGGCTCCTCGTCCGTTTCCAAGGCAACGTTGATGGTGGCGAACGGCCGGCTAGCCATCTGCTGCATCTCACGGAGTAGTTGCTGTGAGGAAGAGGAGGAGGAGGAAGGTCAGTGTTGAGGAAGAACGAGAGGACAGTACATTTTGTCACACTCAAAAAACACATTGTGCATCCGAATTCCCTATATAGTGGATATATAGTATATATAGTGGACATATAGTATATATAGTGGATATATAGTATATATAGTGGACATATAGTATATATAGTGGACATATAGTATATATAGTGGATATATAGTATATATAGTGGAATATATATATAGTGGATATATAGTATATATAGTGGATATATAGTATATATGTGGATATAGTGGACATTATAGTGGGACATATAGTATATATAGGTGTATGATATATTATATATATATAATATAGATATATATATATATATATATATATATATAGATATATATATATATATATTATTATAGTGGACATATAGTATATATATATATATAGTATATATAGTGGACATATAGTATATATAGTGGACATATAGTATATATATATATAGTATATATAGTGGATATATAGTATATATATATATATAGTGGATATATAGTGGATATATAGTATATATATAGTGAATATATAGTATATATAGTGGATATATAGTATATATATAGTGCACTACATAGGGAATAGGGTGTCACTTGGGACTCAACCCCAGTAAGGCTTTAAATAGAACAGACATATTTCCAACATCTAGAAACCTGCACAAGACAGAAATACTCAGAATATTAATCATATTATTCCAGGTGGTTTCAAATAGAACCATCTGGAAGTGAGCCGTCTGTCTCACACACACCCCAGACCACCCTATACCACCCAGCCCCACACCACGCCCTACCCTACCCTACCCCACCCCACCCTACCCTACCCCACCCCAGAGATTTACCATAATGCTACTAGTAGTAGTAGTTTAAAGGAGAATTTTTAAAAAACAGCGTTGCAAATTAATGTTTAAACGTATAGTTCTATTTACTGTTATCGCATTAATTCAGTCAATTTATCGCGATATGGATTTTTGTATATGTCGCCCTTCTCTACACGCGCGTTGAATATTGAAATTCAAAAAGACGTTAATGCATCCTCAACTTGGCAACCAGACTTCCTGAGGTAACTGCAGCAGAACAGACCACTCCGGTACAGGCGTTATCCAGGGGTTGGTAACGACTCACCTCTCGTCGCCGTGACGCCCAGCAGCTCTGTTTGATCTTCCAGACGACTGCCGCCACCAGGAGGAGGGACAGGAAGCAGCTGGGAGGAGACAGGAAGAGGAGGAGTTAGAGACAGGAAGAAGAGTTAGACAGGAAGCAGCTGGGAGAAGACAGGAAGCGGAGGAGTTCGAGATAGGCGTCTTTACTGGTCTCTCTTTCCTCTCCTTCCCCCTCTGGGAAAGACCGGGGTCAGGGGTCAAGGGTCAGCCACAGGTGATTTTATTTGGACCCCGAAAGTTTTTGCAAAAAAAAACAAAAAAAAACAAAAAAAGACTACACTCATTGAATTCATCTAAAAATGAGTTTTATTTAAGATTTCTGTTCACCATGTAGTCCCACGAATAAAAAAAATAGACATAGTGTCTTCTGAAAGTATTCATACCCCTTGACTTATTCCACATTTTGTTGTTACAGCCTGAATTCAACATGGATTCAATATAACTATTTTGTCACCCATCTACCATACCCCATAACGACGAAGTGAAAACCTGTTTTTAGAAAGTTTAGCAAATGTATTGAAAATGAAATACAGAAATATCTCATTTAAATAAGAATTCACACCCAAGTCAATACTTTGATGAAGCAACTTTGGCAGCGATTGCAGCTGTGAGTCTTTCTGGGTGAGTCTCTAAGAGCTTTCCACACCTGGATTGTGCAACATTTGCCCTTTATTATTTTCACAACTCTTCAAGCTCTGTCAAATTGGTTGTTGATCATTGCTAGACAACCACTTTCAGGTCTTGCCATAGATTTTCAAGTAGATTTCAGTCAAAACTAACTCGGCCACAAAGGAACATTCACTGTCTTCTTGGTGAGCAACTCCAGTGTAGATTTGGCCTTGTGTTTTAGGTTATTGTCCTGTGAAAGGTGAATTCATCTCCCAGTGTCTGGTGGAAAGCAGACTGAACCAGGTTTTCCTCTAGGATTTTGCCTGTGCTTAGCTCCATTCCGTTTATTTTTTATCCTGAAAAACTCCCCAGTCCTTAACGATTACAAGCATACCCATAACATGATGCAGACACCACTATGCTTTAAAATATGGAGAGCGGTACTCAGTAATGTGTTGTATTGGATTTGCAGCAAACATAACACTTTTTTTGTGCCTTGTTGTAAACAGGATGCATGTTTTGGAATATTTTTATTCTGTACAGGCTTCCTTCTTTTCACTCTGTCATTTAGGTTAGTATTGTGGAGTAACTACAATGTTGTTGATCCATCCTCAGTTTTCTCCTATCACAGCCATTAAACTCTGTAACTGTTTTAAAGTCACCATTCGCCTCATGGTGAAATCCCTGAGCTGTTTCCTTCCTCTCCAGCAACTGAGTTAGGAAGGACGCCTGTATCTTTGTAGTGACTGGGTGTATTGATACACCATCCAAAGTGTCATTAATAACTTCACCATGCTCAAAGGGATATTCGGTGTCTACTTTAGTGTCTACTTTTTACCCCATCTACCAATCGGGCCCTTCTTTGTGAGGCATTGGAAAACCTCCCTGGTCTTTGTGCTTGAAACTGTGTTAGAAATTCACTGCTTGACTGAGGGACCTTACAGATAATTGTATGTGTGGGGTACAGAGATGTGGTAGTCATTCAAAAATACATGCAACTTCTTATGTTACTTGTCAAGCAAACTCCTTTCAGCTTTAGATATTTTATTAATTCGTTTAAAAAAATTGAAACTCATAATTCCACTTTGAGATTATGGGGTATTGAAAATGTATGCACTAAAATGAGTAATTGTAAAAATGTACTGTGTGTAGGCCAGTCCACTATTTATTCAATTTAAAATTCAGACTAACACTTTCTGGAGGCACTGTATGTGATCGTGTCTCAACGTAATCAAGGTATGAAATTATTGTTATATTCATATACAATCTCTTTTGGGCTCAGTTGTGGTCAATTTGCAGTGTACAAATTATTATAATTATGTTCCGGCCCCCCTACCATCCACCATCAGCCCTTGGCTGAATCTATTTGCCTTCCCCTGCCCTCAGAGAACATAATCTCCCCTCTCACATCACCTTTACCCATCCAACCCCACTTACTACAGGTGAGGAAGAGGAGAGGGGGAGAGAAGAGGAAGAGACGAGGGGGAGAGAAGGAGAGAGAAGAGGGAGTGAGAAGAGGGAGAGAGAAGAGGGAGAGAGAAGAGGGAGAGGAAGCGGAGAGAGAGAAGAGGAGAGAGAAGAGGGAGGAGAGAAGAGGTAGAGGAGAGGAGAGAGGGAGAGAAGAGGGAGAGAAGGAGGGAGGAGAGAGAGTGAGAGAGAAGAGGGAGAGAGAGAAGAGGGGGAGAGAAGAAGAGAGGAAGAGGAGACGGGGGAGAGAAGAGGGAGAGGGGGAGGGAGAGGGGAGAGGAGAGGGGAGAGAGAAGAGGGAGAGAGAGAGGAGAGGGAGGGAGAAAAACGGGGAGAGAAGAGGAGATGGGGAGAGAGAGGGAGAGGAGACGGGGGAGAGAGAGAGAGAGGGGAGAGGAGAGGGGGGGAGAGAAGGGAGAGGGGATGGGAGAAGAGGGGGAGAGAGACAGGGGGAGAGAAGAGAGGAGATGGGGAGAGGAGAGGGGGAGAGACAAGACGGGGGAGAGAAGAGGAGATGGGGGAGAGAAGAGGGAGAGAGAGAGGGGGAGAGACGAGAAGAGGGGAGAGGGAAAGGGGAGAGAAGAGGGAGAGGAAGAAGGGAGAGAAGAGGGGAGGAGACGGGGGAGAGGAGAGGAGGGAGAAGAGGAGAGAAGAGGGAGAGAGAAGAGGGAGGAGAGAGAAGGGGGGAGAGAGAAGAGGGAGAGGAGACGGGGAGAGAGGAGGGAGAGAAGAGGGAGAGAAGAGGAGATGGGGAGAGGGAAGAGGGAGAGGAGAGGGGAGAGAAGAGGGGAGAGGAGACGGGAGAGAGAGAAGAGGGAGAGGGAGACGGGAGAGAGAGGGAGAAGGAGGGAGAGAGAGGGAGAGGGAGGAACGGGGAGAGAGAGAGGAAGAGAGAGAAGGGGGAGAAAGAGGGAGAGAGAGGGGAGGAGAGGGGAGAGAGGGGAGGAGGGAGAGAAGAGGGGAGAAGAGGGGAAGGAGAGGAGGGGAGAGAAGGGGAGAGAAAAGGGAGAGGAGAGGGAGAGGGAGAAGAGGAGAGGAGAGAAGGGGGGAGAAGGGGGAGAGGAGGGGATGAGAGAAGAGGGAGAGGAGAGGGGGGAGGGAAAAAGGGGGAGAGAAGAGGAGAGGGGGAGAGAAGAGGGAGGAGAAGGACGGGGAGAGAAGGGGCAGAGAGAAGAGGGAGAGAAGAGGGGAGTGGAGAGAAGAGGGGAGGAGGAGAGGGGGGGGAGGAGAAGGGGAGAGGAGAGGGGGAGAGAAGAGGGAAGAGGGAGAGGAAGGGAGAGAAGAGGGAGAGGGAGAGGAGGGAGAGGGGCGGGGAGGAAGAGGGAGAGAAGAGGAGAGGAGAGGAGAGGGGGATGAGAAGAGGAGAGAAGAGGGAGAGGAGAGGGGGAGAGAAGAGGGAGAGGAGAGGGAGAGAAGAGGGAGAGGAGAGGAGAAAAAGAGGGGAGAGGGGGAGAGGAGAGGGGGAGAGAGGAGGGAGAGGGAGAGAGAGGGAGAGAGAGGAGATGGGGAGAGAAGAGGGAGAGAGAGGAGGAGAGATGGGGAGAGAAGAGGGAGAGGAGAGGAGATGGGGAGAGGAGAGGGAGAGAAGAGGAGATGGGGAGAGAAGAGGGAGAGAGGAGGGAGATGGGGAGAGAAGAGGGAGAGAAGAGGAGATGGGGAGAGAAGAGGGAGAGAAGAGGAGATGGGGAGAGAAGAGGGAGAGAAGAGGAGATGGGGAGAGAAGAGGGGAGAGGAGACGGGGAGAGAAGAGGGACACCAGTGTCTACATATGTGAAAACAGCATGTTCCTATGAACAGTGGTTAAAAAAATGAAATGCTTCTCTGTGACATCACAGAAACTAGTATTGACAGAAACTCGCTGCAGGTTTTGACAGTAGAAAGGCCTCTTTAGTGTCCTAAGTTTTCATAACTGTGACCTTAATTGCCTCCCGTCTGTAAGCTGTTAGTGTCTTAACGACCGTTCCACAGGTGCATGTTCATTAATTGTTTATGGTTCATTGAACAAGCATTGGAAACAGTGTTTAAACCCTTTACAATTAAGATCTGTGAAGTTATTTGGATTTTTACAAATTATCTTTGAAAGACAGGGTCCTGAAAAAGGGACGTTTCTTTTTTTGCTGAGTTTATATAGACACCGTATTGTGCTGGAGATAATGAGGTTTAAAAAGTGGTGGAATTGCCCTTTAAGGCTCGATTCTGTCGACATAGGCTACTTGTTCACATGGTCGTGATGAAAGGCCAGCGACATAGGCTACTCGTTCACATGGTCGTGATGAAAGGCCAGCGACATAGGCTACTCGTTCACATGGTCGTGATGAAAGGCCAGCGACATAGGCTACTCGTTCACATGGTCGTGATGAAAGGCCAGCGACATAGGCTACTCGTTCACATGGTCGTGATGAAAGGCCAGCGACATAGGCTACTCGTTCACATGGTCGTGATGAAAGGCCCAGCGACATAGGCTACTCGTTCACATGGTCGTGATGAAAGGCCAGCGACATAGGCTACTCGTTCACCATGGTCGTGATGAAAGGCCAGCGACATAGGCTACTCGTTCACATGGTCGTGATGAAAGGCCAGTGACATAGGCTACTCGTTCACATGGTCGTGATGAAAGGCCAGCGACATAGGCTACTCGTTCACATGGTCGTGATGAAAGGCCAGTGCCTGTTGAGCACTGCACATCACCACCTTGCAATCTGGCAGAATTTGAAACCATAAATTGTTTGAAACCTGGACGTTTTACTTCATATTAATGATAAATGTCTTACCTGCTTCAAAGTAGGGAAGAAAATACGACCATAGAAACATTGAGGGAATTACTTCATAAACACTTCCTCATATGCCATTGAAACCCGCATTTCTCTTCTGCTCTCTTGGGTTTCCAAATCAACTTTTCTTTCAGCAGCCAAAGGCCCATTCCTAGTCATATTAGCAACCCGTGCTAGTTGTTGCATCTTTAGATCTCCCCTCTTTCTAATTGTTTAACAGATAGTTATTTCCATCTCTGTCATGAAACCGCTGGCATGTGTGGTGCGCATTAGAACAGTGTTTTCCCACTACTTGCATTTTGGAACATTTGTGCGTACTGCCGTGCGCGTCGCTGCGCTAATAATGGGAAGAAATAATAGTTTATCAACATTTTAAGCTAAACGTTCTGATCTGTTCCATCACTCTCGTTGTGTTTATAGTCTATGCTGCAGCAAATGTACCTGTCACAGGAAAAAAACATACCAGCTGATGAGATGATACATCCATACTGAGATGATATTTTTCCCCACATGGGACCAAAGATATGCTTTGGGGACACCCCCGCGCTCTGTGGTGATTTGCTAGTGTCATACGAGGTTGAACCAACAAGACCGGACGAGACCTGAGAGAATTTCAACCAACACACTGCCGGCAACCTCCGAACTGAATTCACATATAAGCATAGGTACTTAACTCTTCTGAGTCGGCCAGGTATAAATTGACCTTAAGACACAATTAAACACTGTCTCTCTAGCACACGTGTGACTTCCAGGCACCACACACCCTCTATATTGCTGGTGTTGGTCTGTTCCGAGATCGATAACACATTACAGCACTCTACCAACAACCCCCACACCATGATGTTCCTGTTTCCTGTTTACCCTCAGGTAGGCCACCCAGAGTTTGGCTATCCATCACCATGGCTACACACAGAGTGGTGTTAGGCTGTAGGTATCCATAGTAACAGAGAGAGGAAGAGGAGGAGGATGAAGAGGAGGAGGAGGATGAAGAGGAGGAGGATGAGGAGAAGAGGATGATGAACAGGAGGAAGAAGAGGAGGCGCTCACCTGAAGAATGTGACGAAGAACTGCACCAGATCCATGAAGTTACTGTGCTGAGAGAAGGCAATCTGAGGAGAGAGAAACAGACAGGTTAACAGACAGGTTAACAGACAGAAAGGTAATCTGAGGAGAGGAGAGACAAGTAAACAGATAGACATGTTAACAGACAGGTTAACAGACAGAGAGAAAGACAGACATACAGGTTAACAGAGATGGGTTAACAGACATACAGGTTAACAGAGATGGGTTAACAGACATACAGGTTAACAGACATACAGGTTAACAGACAGAGAGAAAGACAGACATACAGGTTAACAGAGATGGGTTAACAGACATACAGGTTAACAGAGTGAGGTTAACAGACATACAGGTTAACAGACAGAGAAAAAGACAGACATACAGGTTAACAGAGATGGGTTAACAGACATACAGGTTAACATAGATGGGTTAACAGACATACAGGTTAACAGAGATGGGTTAACAGACATACAGGTTAACGGAGATGGGTTAACAGACATACAGGTTAACAGAGATGGGTTAACAGACATACAGGTTAACAGAGATGGGTTAACAGACAGACAGGTTAACAGAGATGGGTTAACAGACAGACAGGTTAACAGAGATGGGTTAACAGACAGACAGACAGGTTAACAGAGATGGGTTAACAGACAGACATACAGGTTAACAGAGATGGGTTAACAGACATACAGGTTAACAGAGATGGGTTAACAGACAGACATACAGGTTAACAAAGATGGGTTAACAGACATACAGGTTTACAGAGATGGGTCAACAGACAGACATACAGGTTAACAGAGATGGGTCAACAGACAGACATACAGGTTAACAGACAGACAGGTATTACTCTGCCATTTTAAAAGTCATGTCCCCCTCCGTCCTTGACTCCTCCTAAATAAGTCTATATAACACCCTGTCAGTGTTAGAATCTTAATATCACAAACAGAACTAGAGTTATAACCAGTTTTAGTCTTCGGTTTTCCCCCGTTGCCCCTCATTTTCCCGACAGTAGGTGCCGTGCCCAGTTGATAATCACTCTAACTATACCGAAACTAATTTCACACATATAACAGATGACATAAATTAAGTAAAGTATGATGGGGGCGGTAGGGTGAGTTGATGAGCGAAGCGAACGATGCATAATTATGTCATAACCAATTGTGAATGAAGAACAGTGCGGGCCATTCTACTGTATTGATCTATTCTAATTATAATCTCAAAATGGTCACTACATCAATCCACTAAATCCAAGCAATGAATTGTGACATCTCTGATGATTATTCTTCTGATTCTGAGCCTCAGCCTACACATCCAAGGCCTAAGCGCAAAATAGCCAGAACGGTGACCGCTGTCACCACCAAATGAAACGGTGAGACAGGAGGGGACGGCACCGTTCAGATAGAACAAGCCGGTGACAATGATACGGGCTGATTTTCGCACAAATTGTCAGCATAGAGAACAGACCCTACACATCAAGCAAAAAAACTACATCAGCGGCCTCCCGAGTGGCGCAGCGGTCTAAGGCACTGCATCGCAGTGCTTGAGGCGTCACTACAGACCCGGGTTCGATCCCAGGCTGTGTCACAGCCGGCCGTGACCGGGAGACCCATGAGGCGGCGCACAATTGGCCCAGCGCAGTCCGGGTTAGGGGAGGGTTTGGCCGGCCGGGATTTCCTTGTCCCATTGCGTTCTAGCGACTCCTTGAGGCGGGCCGAGCGCCTGCAGCTGGACGGTGTTTCCTCCGACACGTTGGTGCAGCTCGCTTCCGGGTTAAGCGAGCAGTGTGTCAAGAAGCAGTTCGGCTTGGCAGGGTCGTGTTTCGGAGGACAGATGGCTCTCAGCCTTCTCCTCTCCCGAGTCCATAAGGGAGTTGCAGCGATGGGACAAGACTGCGTCATTTCTTGTGAATATGTAATAGCAGCCTGCGTTCTTCTGAGGTGGAACCTAAAGGACCGTTCCTGACAGGAATTACGTAAAAATAGGGCCCTTTGGTAGGGGCCTGTAATGATTCTGATGAAAATAAGCTTTTTGTCTTATCAAAGACACCCGTCTATGTTTAGGGGGGGTTATACCCTCGACTAACCAATTCTAAATGGCACTTAGCAGTTAGCTTAAGCGGAAAATAGACATGACGCAATTATTCCAAAATTGCAGCTCGCTGTTGGGACATATTTTCCTACTTCAATCAACCAGTCCATTTAGAATTTGTGATTAAACTGTTGTCGCTTGTTGATCCCATCAGTTAGATCCGTTTTTATACAGGAGCTAGTTAGGCCTTGTCAAAGAGGCGGGGCTTTAGGAGGGACTGAAAGATAGTGATGGACTCAGAGTCACAGATGGCTGGAGGGAGCATAGGGGCAACCCTGGAGAGGGAGCATAGGGGCAACCCTGGAGAGGGAGCATAGGGGCAACCCTGGAGAGGGAGCATAGGGGCAACCCTGGAGAGGGAGCATAGGGGCAACCCTGGAGAGGGAGCATAGGGGCAACCCTGGAGAGGGAGCATAGCAGCAACCCTGGAGAGGGAGCATAGGGGCAACCCTGGAGAGGGAGCATAGGGGCAACCCTGGAGAGGGAGCATAGGGGCAACCCTGGAGAGGGAGCATAGCAGCAACCCTGGAGAGGGAGCATAGGGGCAACCCTGGAGAGGGAGCATAGGGGCAACCCTGGAGAGGGAGCATAGGGGCAACCCTGGAGAGGGAGCATAGCAGCAACCCTGGAGAGGGAGCATAGGGGCAACCCTGGAGAGGGAGCATAGGGGCAACCCTGGAGAGGGAGCATAGGGGCAACCCTGGAGAGGGAGCATAGCAGCAACCCTGGAGAGGGAGCATAGCAGCAACCCTGGAGAGGGAGCATAGCAGCAACCCTGGAGAGGGAGCATAGCAGCAACCCTGGAGAGGGAGCATAGGGGCAACCCTGGAGAGGGAGCATAGGGGCAACCCTGGAGAGGGAGCATAGGGGCAACCCTGGAGAGGGAGCATAGCAGCAACCCTGGAGAGGGAGCATAGCAGCAACCCTGGAGAGGGAGCATAGGGGCAACCCTGGAGAGGGAGCATAGGGGCAACCCTGGAGAGGGAGCATAGCAGCAACCCTGGAGAGGGAGCATAGGGGCAACCCTGGAGAGGGAGCATAGCAGCAACCCTGGAGAGGGAGCATAGCAGCAACCCTGGAGAGGGAGCATAGCAGCAACCCTGGAGAGGGAGCATAGCAGCAACCCTGGAGAGGGAGCATAGGGGCAACCCTGGAGAGGGAGCATAGCAGCAACCCTGGAGAGGGAGCATAGCAGCAACCCTGGAGAGGGAGCATAGCAGCAACCCTGGAGAGGGAGCATAGCAGCAACCCTGGAGAGGGAGCATAGCAGCAACCCTGGAGAAGGCCCTGTCGCCGAAGCTCTGGGGGAGAAGAAGGTCTGAGAGGTAAAGGGGGGGGGGGGGGGGGTCAAAAAGAGGATATTGTATTCAATCGAGTCTGAGGTGTGGCCATTGAGGGAGATGAAAAGTGCTATAAAGAGCACAGATAAACATATGTAGCCTAAGAAACAAGGTTAATGAAATCAATAACTTTCTAGTAACAGATGACATTCATATTCTGACAATCTCTGAAATTCACTTAGATAATACCTTTGATGATACAGTGGTAGCAATACAAGGTTATAACATATACAGAAAATACAAAATGCCAATGGGGGCGGTGATGCGGTCTACATTCAGAGCCACATTCCAGTAAATGTGTGAAATATTGATAATGTTATTGTTATGTTATAATATTATTGTGTTCATTTGTTATTATTTTTTACCTTAGTTTATTTAGTAAATATTTTCTTAACTCTTTCTTGAACTGCATTGTTGGTTAAGGGCTTGTAAGTACGCATTTCACGGTAATGTCTACACCTGTTGTATTCGGCGCATGTGAAAAATACAATTTTATTTTATATCAACAGAGAAGTATATTATTTAAGCTTTCATCAAGCTGCCCACTCAAGAAAAAGCTTCAAACTGTAACTAGTGCCTGCAACCTGGTTCAGGTTATCAGTCAACCTACCAGGGTAGTTACAAACAGCACAGGAATGGAATCATCAACATGTATTGATCATATCTTTACTATATTCCATCCATAAATACGAATAAAATTGTTAAATTACGAGCCTACTTGGTTTAGCCATGGAAAAAGACAATGTATGGGCTGGACATGCCGGGAGATGAGTTTGGATTGGTCTGCCATGTAGCGCGCTTCTGTCTGTAACGTGAGCTGCTCAGGATGTGTTGACAGTCCTTTCTACCGCGCCGTTTTTGAACGATATAACGTTAGCCATCGAAAACTACAAAAGTTCTCAACAACATTGATGCCATGAATTTAGCAGGCGCTATCGACAGATCAGTAGGAAAAAGTGACAGGCTACTTTTTCCACACGCCACTGTCAGTGTGTACCAGAGTGACTTGACACAACGCTGGCCAAACAAGACGTAGCTACAAACAAAACTGAGTTAAATTGTTCCAGTCTGTCGTGTATACGGGCAAGAGTCTAGCTACATTTTCCAGATATAAGTTTCTAATTTAGTCAGAAAGTAGTTTTTATTGCAAGTTAAAGCATACTGTTATTTAGCTAGCAAACGTTAGCTTGCTGCTCGCTAGCTAACGTTACGTGTATGATCTGTGTAGTTATATTATTCGAATCAGAAGACCATTTGCATTGCTAGTTATAGCCTAATGTTAGCTAGTTAACATTGAACCTAGTTTGTTAGCTTTAGCTACCTGCAGATTCATACTACAGCTATGGCAATGTTTCTATGAGTTGGGGTTATGCCGGTTCATTGTTTAGCTAGCTAGCTACATGTCTAAACAATAGACTCCACTATGTTGGGATTCAGGTTCATTGTTTAGCTAGCTAGCTACATGTCTAAACAATAGACTCCACTATGTTGGGATTCTGGTTCATTGCTTAGCTAGCTAGCTACATGTCTAAACAATAGACTCCACTATGTTGGGATTCTGGTTCATTGTTTAGCTAGCTAGCTACATGTCTAAACAATAGACTCCACTATGTTGGGATTCTGGTTCATTGTTTAGCTAGCTAGCTACATGTCTAAACAATAGACTCCACTATGTTGGGATTCTGGTTCATTGTTTAGCTAGCTAGCTACATGTCTAAACAATAGACTCCAATATGTTGGGATTCTGGTTCATTGTTTAGCTAGCTAGCTACATGTCTAAACAATAGACTCCACTATGTTGGGATTCTGGTTCATTGTTTAGCTAGCTAGCTACATGTCTTAACAATAGACTCCACTATGTTGGGATTCTGGTTCATTGTTTAGCTAGCTAGCTACATGTCTAAACAATAGACTCCACTATGTTGGGATTCTGGTTCATTGTTTAGCTAGCTAGCTACATGTCTAAACAATAGACTCCACTATGTTGGGATTCTGGTTCATTGCTTAGCTAGCTAGCTACATGTCTTAACAAAATACTCCACTTCGGCCAGATTATTACATGACCCATCAAATTAGCAGGTGTGTCTGGGGGTGATTACTGACTTCGATTTTATTTCATGAACATGTGTACATGTCTAGACAATAGTGACCCATCCACTTATGAAAGACAAGCATTGTACACTGAACAAAAATAGAAAGGCAACATGTAAAGTATTGGTCCCATGTTTCATGAGCTGAAATAAAAAGACACCCGAAATTTTCCCATAAACACAAAAAGCATATTTCTCTCAAATTGTGTGCACACATTTGTTTAACATCCCTGTTATTGAGCATTCCTCCTTTGCCAAGATAATCCATCCACCTGACAGGTGTGGCATATCAAGAAGCTGATTAAACATGATCATTACACAGGTGCACCTTGTGCTGAGGACAATAAAACACCACTCTAAAATGTGCAGTTTTGTCACACAACAAAATGCCAAAGATGTCTCAAGTTTTGAGGGAGTGTGCAATTGGCATGCTGACTGCGGGAAGGTCCACCAGAGATGTTGCCAAAAAATTTAATGTTCATTTCTCTACCAAAAGCCACCTCAAATCTTTGAAATGTTTCATTTATATTTTTGTTCAGCATAATTTTGAATTCCGTAAAGTGACTGTGGATGATGTGAAAAAATAATGTTTGTCTATCAACAATGACAAGCCACCGGGGTCTGACAACTTGGATGGAAAATTACTGAGGATAATAGCGGACGATATTGCCACTCCTATTTGCCATATCTTCAATCTTGTGCCCTCAGACCTGGAGGGAAGCAAAAGTCATTCCGCTACCCAAGATTAGTAAAGCCCCCTTTACTGGCTCAAATAGCCGACCAATCAGCATGTTACCAACCCTTAGTAAACTATTGGAAAAAATTGTGTTTGACCAGATACAATGCTATTTTACAATAAATAAATGAACAACAGACTTTCAGCATGCTTATAGAGAAGGACATTCAACAAGCACGGCACATACAAAAATTACTGATGATTGGCTGAGAAAAATTGATGATAAAAAGATTGTGGGGGCTGTTTTGTTATACTTCAGTGCGGCTTTTGACATTATCAATCATAGTCTGCTGCTGGAAAAACGTATGTGTTATTGCTTTACACCCCCTGCTATAATGTGGATAAAGAGTTACCTGTCTAACAGAACACAGAGGGTGTTCTTTAATGGAAGCCTCTCCAACATAATCCAGGTAGAATCAGGAATTCCCCAGGGCAGCTGTTTTTCAATCTTTACTAACGACATGCCACTGGCTTCAGCTAAATCTTGTAATGAATAATGTGGAAATTGAACAAGTTGAGGAGACTAAACTGCTTGGAGTAACCCTGGATTGTAAACTGTTATGGTCAAAACATGTTGATGCAACAGTAGCTAAGATGGGGAGAGATCAACAAATTATTTGATGACAAATTATTTTTGGCCTTAATGCTATTAGCCCATTCAAACACATTTATTTATTTATTTTATTTCACCTTTATTTAACCAGGTAAGCCAGTTGAGAACAAGTTCTCATTTACAACTGCGACCTGGCCAAGATAAAGCAAAGCAGTGTGATAAAAACAACAACACAGAGTTACATATGGGGTAAAACAAAACATAAAGTCAAAAATACAACAGAAAATATATATACAGTGTGTGCAAATGTAGCAAGTTATGGAGGTAAGGCAATAAATAGGCTATAGTGCAAAATAATTACAATTAGTATTAACACTGGAATGCTAGATGTGCAGAAGATGATGTGCAAATAGAGATACTGGGGTGCAAAAGAGCAAAATAAATAAAAATATGGGGATGAGGTAGTTGGGTGGGTTAATTTCAGATGGGCTGTGTACAGGTGCAGTGATCGGTAAGGTGACAACTGATGCTTAAAGTTAGTGAGGGAGATAAGTGTCTCCAGCTTCAGAGATTTTTGCAATTTGTTCCAGTCATTGGCAGCAGAGAACTGGAAGGAATGGCGGCCAAAGGAGGTGTTGGCTTTGGGGATGACCAGTGAGATATACCTGCTGGAGCGCAGACTACGGGTAGGTGTTGCTATGGTGACCAATTAGCTAAAATAAGGCGGGGATTTGCCTAGCAGTGATTTATAGATGACCTGGAGCAAGTGGGTTTGGCGACGAATATGTAGTGAGGGCCAGCCAACAAGAGCGTATAGGTCACAGTGGTGGGTAGTGTATAGGGCTTTGGAGACAAAACGGATGGCACTGTGATAGACTACATCCAATTTGCTGAGTAGAGTGTTGGAGGCTATTTTGTAAATGACATCGCCGAAGTCAAGGATCGGTAGGATAGTCAGTTTTACGAGGGCATGTTTGGCAGCATGAGTGAAGGAGGCTTCGTTGCGAAATAGGAAGCCAATTCTAGATTTAACTTTGGATTGGAGATGCTTAATGTGAGTCTGGAAGGAGAGTTTACAGTCTAACCAGACACGTAGGTATTTGTAATTGTCCACATACTCTAGGTCAGACCCGTCGAGAGTAGTGATTCTAGTCGGGCAGGTGGGTGCAAGCAGCGTTCGATTGAAGAGCATGCATTTAGTTTTACTAGTGTTTAAGAGCAGTTGGAGGCTACGGAAGGAGTGTTGTATGACATTGAAGCTCGTTTGGAGGTTTGTTAACACAGTGTCCAATGAAGGGCCAGATGTATACAAAATGGTGTCGTCTGCGTAGAGGTGGATCTGAGAGTCACCAGCAGCAAGAGCGACATCATTGATATACACAGAGAATAGTGTCGGCCCGAGAATTGAACCCTGTGGCACCCCCATAGAGACTGCCAGAGGTCCAGACAACAGGCCCTCCGATTTGACACATTGAACTCTATCTGAGAAGTAGTTGGTGAACCAGGCGAGGCAGTCATTTGAGAAACCAAGGCTATTTAGTCTGCCAATAAGAATGTGGTGATTGACAGAGTCGAAAGCCTTGGCCAGGTCGATGAAGACGGCTGCACAGTACTGTCTATTATCGATCGCGGTTATAATATCGTTTAGGACCTTGAGCGTGGCTGAGGTGCACCCATGACCAGCTCGGAAACCGGGTTGCATAGCAGAGAAGGTACGGTGGGATTCGAAATGGACGGTGATCTGTTTGTTAACAATGTCTACACTGTATTTCTGATCAATTTGATGTTATTTTAAATGGGCCAAAATGTTTTATTTTCTTTCGAAAACAAGGACATTTCTAAGTGACCCCAAACTTTTGAACGGTAGTGTACATGTCGGTTGTTTTGCTCTACGACGTCCACAGGCCTCACAAGACTCGTCTGAATGTCCCCCAGCTTCATTATATAATACCCGCAAAGCACCATGGCTTTTTCTTTGCAACTCTGCCTTGAAGGTCAGCATCCCAGAGTCGCCTCGTCACTGTTGACGTTGAGACTGGTGTTTTGCGGGTACTATTTAATTAAGCTGCCAGTTGACCTTACCTAATCTTACCCACAATTGCTGATGCTCCAGAAACTCAACTAGTCTCAAGAAGGCCAGTTTTATTGCTTCTTTAAATCAGCACAACAGTTTTCAGCTGTGCTAACATAATTGCAAAAGGGTTTTCTAATGATCAATTAGCCTTTTAAAATGATAAACTTGGATTAGCAAACACAACGTGCCATTAGAACACAGGACTGATGGTTGCTGATAATGGGCCTCTGTACGCCTACGTAGATATTCCATTACAAATCAGCCGTTCCCAGCTACAATAGCCATTTACAACATTAACAATGTCTACACTGTATTTCTAATCAATTTTATGTTATTTGAAAGGACCCCAAACTTTTGAACGGTAGTGTACGTGTTTGTGAGAGTCTCACTTTTACACAGAGGCGTGCGACGCCCAAACTGATCTTACGCTACAGACAGAAGTTGGCAGATCGGCTGTACAGACTTCAGATGAGTCCCAAGACGCCTGTGGGGTTCGTAGAGCAAAACGGAGACCACCATCCCGTTCGTGAGAGCATCATCTTTCCATAGAGGGGTCATAATGGTTTGGACGCTACAGACGATTTTGTGAGAAGACCGATTTTCGGGATGTCTCATGGTCTGACACACCTCTCTAGCTCTGTCACCTTTCACCGCAGATACGGAAGTGTTACATAGGCATTGCCAAAGCAAGTGAAATAGATAATAAACAAAAGTGAAATTAACAATAAATTAACAGTAAACATTACACAAAAGTTCCAAAGGAATAGAGACAAATCAAATGTCATATGTCTATATACAGTGTTGTAACGATGTGAAATAGTTAATGGACAAAAGTGAAAATAAATCAACATAAATATGGGGTTTATTTACAATGGGTGCTTTCTCCTCGTTCTCCTCCTCTCTGACTCCTTGGAATTCTCTCCCTCTCCTCAGATTCCCAGCCTCTCGCTCTACCCCTCCCTACCGTCTTCTGCCGCTCTCCTCCCAACACTCTCTTCCCGCATGCCCACCGTACTGCCACCCTCTATCCGCCGAGCGACCTGACGTAGCTC